AGACGATGGGAAAACTCTCAGGTTCAAATTTAATTTCCTTCTGTGTGCTCAGGTTACCCTTTGAAAAGGCACTAACAAGTAGTGACCAACAGAGAAATGGTAAGTGAGAGGCAGCAGAGCGGTGGCCTGGATAATCACCCTCAAGACAGGCTGGCAGAACAGCACTGACCACTCTGTGTGGTTCCCGTGAATAGCACCCAGCCCACCATCTTTCAGGCAGTAGATAGCCAATAAATATTCACAAGAGCAAATGCTAACACAGGCAGAGAGAAAGTAAACGCAACGCTCGGCACCTGCTGTTTTATTTTTTTAAGTCTTCTGAAATTATGTTAAGCAAAACTCTTTGATGGAGAGGGAATCTGGAAGGATAACTAAACATAATTTGGGAGGATAACTAAACATATTTCACAAGGATGTTCTTTTAGCCCCATAGTTAAAGATGCACTTGACATAGATACAGAATAAATGAAATGTGGGTAGATCAGGACAGACATTTCAGCCGGAAAAAAATACCTGCCAAAGTGATGATCTGGGAAAATCAATGGCAGGGTCATGTTAAACTACTGCATCATTGCTTGGTCCCTCCCCAGACCTACTATAACTTGATGTCTGGTGACCGCGCATTAGTTGGCCGTTCATTGGCACTCTGCTTCTAAATGGTAATATCACTCAGAATATTTTAAGAACTGATGTATATGCTACACACACACAGCAAATACAATTTCAACTTTTACACACAACAAATTAAATAATGTATTTGACAAATAGCCTTAGGGTTGTTACACCCTTTGTGTGGTTTGTTGGGTAGCAAAATGTTTAACTTGGCATATAATTTCACATGGAAATATGAGCTATGTTTTTGTCTAATCATCTAGTATTATTTTCTCAGTACCTCTTAGCAATAAGAATTTTGCCTCGTCCTCATTTCTTTGCAAATTCCACAATGAAAAAAATCCTGAATGTGCTAAAGAATCCATTGCCTGCTTATGAAACATAAAGGCTTATGAAAACATGGCACGTACTCAAGTAGACCGGTTTGTTTTTAAATATTTTAATAGTGTGCACTGCTGCGTTAGGAACGAGATGTGTATTATGCCCAATCTTACATCTAGTGTGTACTATACTTTGATCGTTCTATCAAAAGATCAAAATTTAAATATCATGTAAATTATATTTTATACATGTTCTCCTTTGCATGAAATCAAACAGAATATTTGTTTCTTCTCTAAACACATGAGAATATAAACAAGCAACATATTTAAGCTCAAGAAGTACTCACTACTTCATGCCATTAAAAAATGCCCTCAGGTAGCAATTAAAATAAGAAGCTTCTATGTTTTCTTAAAATAACTCTAAATGTCTATGTTCACACTTGCAAATTTTTAAGCATATACTTAATATGTATTTTAAAGTTTCTTAATTTAATTATGCATGCTATTTTCACAGTAAATGCTACTTAGGTTCTCCTCCTGAAAACTCCAAGAGGTTGTATAAATCAACAGAAATAACAGAAACTGAATAGTTTATATTGAATCTCTAATAACCAAAACAAATTGTCATTTTCACATCAGCTAAATGTAAAGCAGGAACCTTGATTAGATCCTGGTTTAAGAAAAAACAGCTATAACTGACATTCTTAGGAAAATGAGGAAAATATAAACCTAGATAGGATATTAGGTGCTATCACAAAATTTTGTTAATTTTCTGAGGTCAATTACTCTGATTCTTTAAGAAAACGTCCTTATTCTTAGTGCATGCATAATGTAATTTATAGGGATGAAATGTCATGATCTATGAAACTGGTTTGATATATGAAACTGACATATGACCCAACAGTGACAAAAATTTCTGGACCTACAATTCGACAGATAAAAATATGAAGCCAATATGACAAAATGTTGATAATAGCTGAATCTCAGTGGCGGGTATACAGATGTTCACTGTATTATTCTTTCAGTCATTTTGAATATATGAAAATCTTCACAATAACAAGTGAAGGAGGAAAGAGGAACAGTCATTTTCATTTAAGCATATATGTATATTGACTCCTGAACCAAACTAGGTACAGACAAAATACTGCTTTACATGAACAGCAAGTCTTTCATTTTCTGGTAGCAGTATACATTAGAGAATCAATTTTCCACCATCGACCCAGAGAAGTGATGGCAGCCCTCTGGCCACAAGCACAGGGAACAGCTGATTGACATAACCGCCTGAATCACAGCAGATGCGGCAGTATCCCCAGAAGGCAATCCACACTGACCAGCTGGTTTACACAGCAACACATATCGTACCCTTAGAAAATAAGGGCTGACCTTTGGGAGGTCGGGGTGAGAGGATTGCCTAACCCGTGGGTTCGAGACCAGCCTGGGCAATTTGGCGAGACCTCATCTCTACAATAAATCAAGAAAAATTAGCCAGGCATGGTGATGCGTGCCTATAGTTCTAGCTACTTGGAAGGCTGAGGTGGAAGGGTCACCTGAACCCAACAGGTCAAGGCTGCAGTGGCCATGAGTACACCACCACACTCCAGCCTGGGTGACAGAGAGAGACTCCAACTCAAAAAGAACAAAGAAAGAAAAGAAGGGCTGATGACAACGGGGGCCTTCAAGCCTGGAACCCTCATGGAAGACAGAACCCAAAACTTTGCCAGGCTCATGTCATATCAAGCTATGAGATGAAATTCAAGCTAAATCACACAAATGCAAAACATCAACTGTTTCTACTCATTTACCCACTATGAATGAATTCCTCTCTTTATCTACTCAATTAAGTGGAATACCAGATTTCATATTAAGCAAAAAAACCAAAGGTGCTACTCTAAAGATTCCACTTAAAATTAATAATAAAGTGTTAGAATCATATGAGAAATTTTAAAGAGAAAATCTGGAAACATCTGATGTAGATATTCCAGGGATTAAAAATAAGACTATTTATGAACAGACTCTTTCTGTCTTTGAATTCAAATTTCACCATTTCTGGGCACTAGTCACTTTAAATCAAGGTACAAACTAGCCCTTCCTGACTCACCCCCCACTTGCTGTAGAATCTCAGATTCTTTTTTAATTAGACTGAATTTAAACGAAGCATAAGGCACTGAATTTTCAAGTGGCCCAATGTAATCAACGAGCCCACTTCAGTTACATCTTTTCCTGTCTTTTTTTTAAGCATTTTTTCTCCCTCATCCAAGTCTCTATCTATTGTTGTACTTGTTACTCTGACCTTCTTCTCTTCTCTCTCCTCTATCCCTCCCAACCCCTTCAGGCCTACCCAGGGGCATCCACAGGCATTGTTATCACTCAGGTTAAACTCCAGGTCCTGCAGCTGTAAAGAATCCTTAATCCTGATGTGGCCCATAAAGCTTGATGGAATCAGGCTGCCGGCTGCAACAGTCACAGGAAGAACGGTTCACTTTCCTTTAACCAAAGAACAATTATCCCGTTTATGGGTTGTGGAGGCCCTTTCCCTTCTCTGTAAGCTGCCTGCCTTTGATCTTTAACCAGTCGTTTATAGCTCTCTGGAAGGAAAGCAGGAAACCATGACACTAAGACCTCATTTTTGCTTCATGATATCCCGATGAGAGGCATGGTACAGGAGAGTTGAAACATCAGTAAGTTTGGGGTATATCTGTGGACTTCAACTGTCCAAGAAAGTCCTGCATTCTGTTCAATGCCCCCATTTTCTTATTTCTTGAAAAGTTTCTGTTCTACCTATAAGCACTAAGCTAGAATCTAAAGGAAAAACAAATTTTTTAAATTCTTCAACAGATAAATTTTTTAAAGTTCCTCACCAGAGAGGTATGAACACATTACACTTGTTTACCAAAAATTTACTGTCTATGATAACACACTCCTAGGATGTGATGAAGTATGAATTAACCTACTTCAAAAGCTCTAGAGAGGATGAATCTCTGGCAATAATCCAGCCAAAAGGCCAGGGGTCCAGAGGTCCCTCACCATCGCCAGACCAGGCCGGCCCCACAGGGGAACTGGGAAGAAGATTCAACAACCAGGGCCAAGAGTCCACACTCGAAAACAGTCTAGGGGTGGAGGGAGGCTCACAGGAGCAGAGAACACATGCCCCAGGATAGCTAGGTAGACGCTTGGAAGTACTGGCCAATGGTGAAGCACCTGCAGCCTGCAGTAGTGTTCTGAGCCCTTTCTTGAGGCTAACCCTCTCAATGCCTCAATCTCTTTATCTGTCAAATGGGAATAACAATAGTGCCCCCTAACTCATTTTATATATACATAATTCAGAGTCATTATAAAGATGAAATGAGTCAGTATGCATAAAGTGCTTAGAACAGGGCCCGACACATGGTAAGCACTGTATAAATGCTAGCTAATTGCTATTCTAGGCTAGAATCATGCCTACAGAAAAGCCTTACAAAGAAAGCACTTACCTTTTTTAATCCCCACCTACTACAGTACTAACCAGCTGGAAGTACCTGGTCTTCTGCAATAGGTCTACTACAATGAACCTACTACTAACCAGCCGGGAAAACCCATGGTTCCATTCTTTGGTTCCCTGTTTAAGCCCCCAGGATCTCTGCAATGGTCCCAGCTAAGACCAAGTGTGCTAGACTCCCTTCCCTAGCAACTGGGTTCAGATATAAAATTGCCATATGGCAACATCCTATGATTAAAATGGAAACTGACACATGATTAAAATGGAAATCTACCTGACAAACACTTCAGAGCCCACACGTTCTCAGTGGGTAAGTTCTGCAGCTTCTTACAAACGTCCCTAACTCTGCAACGCTGTGAACCTCCAAGACTAACCCGGTTGAAGATGCACACAGATTACCCTACACATGAAAAAGGCAGACATGCAATAATGCTCAACAAAGTCCATGGCCCCGAAGTCTGCGGCACACACAGGTAACTGGCTACTGCCACACCTGGGTGACACAGTGAGCCCATTCTTGGGAACAGGCAGGTCCATAGGCTCTCCTGTGCTGAGACTGGGCCACACCTGGTCAGCATGTTGACAACACTTACGCATTACAATAGGGCTTCTTTTCATAGCCTTTGTAGTTGTTCATGTTGAGAGCCATCTTGCAGACCTCACAATGGAAACATCCTTTATGCCAATACTGAAAAAAATAAATATTTAAAAAATGTCAGTACAATGCCAGCTCTCACCAGGATGGGTACAGAAGGAAGGCTTTTTCGTGCATCACACGGTCCCTGTATTTGAAAGTGCTTCAGCAAAATGACTGTAGGGAACTGTGGACGTGTTTCCCTACTTTCGGTTAAGTAAATAAAGCAGGCAGCTATTAAAATTGAGTTTTAAATGAATCACCACCACAGAGGTACGGTGGAAGAACTGCCAAGGCTCTGTCCTTAGAGCAATTCTAAGAGCAGCCGGAAATGAATGCTGAGCTGGGTTAATGGTGAAAGGGGACCCATGGAGTGGCTTCAGAACCCAAAGGAATCCAGTTCATAGTACCTAAACGCGGTGTTTGTAGGATCTCCCTAAACAGTGCTCACCAGAAGTCAGGCAAGCCTAGGGGCTGGCTGGAGGACCATGTAAGTACCCTTGGTCCCCCATCCCTGTCCAGCTTCTACTAAATCTCAGGAACGTGGACACTGTCCGGGATGACAGTCGGGATGACAGCTCGCTCTAACGAGGCATTTGTATCATCAGACGCAAATTTCACGGGAATGCCTCTGGCTGGTTTCAATTGTCAGTCACTCGGGATCGCGCCCGGGTCTCTCTCCCAGGCTGTTTTTCGTCTCCACCTCCGCCCGGGAAGGGCAGGGGGCAGAGCTGGAGGAACCGGGTGAGAGCCACTTCCCCCGGAATCCCCCAACCCAGGAGGATTAGACACCCGTGGGTCCAGCTCGCCTGGCTGAGCCGGGGCTCTCCGACGGGGATTATTCTTAGCAATGCGGCATCGCCCCCCCACCATGACATATTAATTACTCTTTGCTTCTCCCCCTCGCCGCCGTCACGGAAGGTGCTGGGGCGGAGTAGGGGGGAGATTGCGGGCGGATCTGCAGGGCGGGGGGCGCGGGGCACCAGGAGAGATGGAGGGGGCGCGGCTCGCCGAAGTCCCCCCCCGGGGCCGC